ACTTTGGTCCTTTAAATTTATCTTCATTTTATTTTGGTCTCTCAAATTTCAAATCATGGGTTTTAGTCTCTCAAATTTCTTTTCATTTAAAACATTGGTCCTTATAATCCAATAAAAATTTAGACTATTTTGTCTCTTGAGGGACCAAAATCTATGGTTTGGAATTTGAGGGATCAAAACCAAAATGAGCGCAAACTTGGGAAGCCAAAAATTATATTAACCCTTAGTTTTAATTAAGGATAGATGAAATAACACATAAGAGGTAGGGGGAAAAAAATACAATTCAGTACATATTGCGGTGCCAGCTTTGTCATGACAATTTCAATTGTCATCCAAGGGGCGAATCAATCAGTTATCAATTATTTAGTTATAAAATGATTTAATACATAATTTATTTAATTTTGTTCCAAAATTAGCATTTCGTCGTGTTATTTATTTATTTATTATTCACTTGAAATCTAAGGTCAAACTTAGAGGAAAAAAATTAGGTACGTAAAGATGATTAAAAGCAGCCGAAAGGTATCTAGTCCTATGGCTTATTGAGGATTACATACGCACGAAAGCAATTAAGGTTACAATTAACCTAGGGAAAATTTCACTAAGTTCCCAGGGAATAAAGAAGACAGCAAAAAGGTCTCATAATTAGAAGTCCCAAAGAGTGCTAAAGTAAGAGATTGTAATTTAATAAAAATATAAAAAGACCTCATTACCCTTGCTAATACCCTTACTCGTTAATACATTGATATTAGGTATTAATATATACCATAACAGCTGTTAATACTTGCACCTTGACTCATCATTTTTCTGATGCTAAATGTCTTGTTAATGTAGGTACTTTCCTTTGTCATTACAAGCACCCTGGGTTGGTTTTTGAAATTTCATTCTATTAATTTTATTTGTAGAGTTTCATTTGAAAATTTAATGCAATGTATATTCTTTGAGTTATATATGATAATTTAAAAAAGGTTGTATTTTCAATAAGTTAATTATTTAAAAATAATATGAATTGTCTTTTGAGTTAAGGATAAAAAGATATCCATGAAAATATATCAAAAGCTCACAAAATACCATGAACTTTCTTCAGGGTCAAATATACCAATCAAAGTTTAAAAAAATGTCAATAATGCGAACGTCTGTTTTTCAAGTAGTGGAACCCACTCTTTTTAATGAAAATATCAAAATACCTTCAGTGAAAAAAAAGAGTTAAGGGTCAAAAATACTGATGACGTTATACCAAAAGCGTACCAAATACTATATAATTTTTAATAAAAGTACAAAGTACCCTCATTCTTGAAGGGCTATTGCATTAGAATATGTTAGAGATTATTAATTATAATAAATTGTTATAATTAAAATAACTTATGTAAAAAAGTTTAAGCTTGAATTAAATTGCTGTTTAAAGATAAGTTATTTATATCCCTAATCTTTTCTTTTAATAGACTCTAGAAGTATCTTTTAAAAATAAGTTTTTTGTACCAATAGTGTATTAAGTTGTGTGCTTATCCTCCAGTCTATATTATAAAATTTAATAGTTTATTTGAATTTTTTTAATGTTTATATTCAATTTTTTGAGAAAATTTAAAGTCACTTTTGATAGTGAGATCCATTATTTTTAATGAAAATACTAAAATACCCAGTAATAAAACCCCGGGGGGGGAAACTACCATCTCCCTCTAACCTGTTGATGGTCTTCTTAGCTCATCTCTCTTCGAAGAAAAAAGCCCGCCTTCTTACAATATTGATTCATATTCTTTATTTTACTCAAACTTTACAGCATCCTCGCATAATTTTCTTCTCGAATTAATTAAAATTTTCAAATTGAATTAAAAATATGAAAGTATCAAATGAATACTAATCAAAAGATTGAAATATTAATATTAATATTTATTTTATTAACTTTATTTAACAATTCTCCGTAATTAAAACACTCCAAGATAAGTAACAGTGATGTTAAAATATAAAACATGATAAGTTAAAAAAAAATTAATTATTACATATAATATTTATGCTACTAAAATAATTTAGTCATAACAATTAATACGCTATAACAATTTGTTGGTTTTTATAAAAAAGAAACAATTTTTTGAAGAAGAAAAAATTTATTAAAAACAAATAATCTTTTATAATTATAAAGATTGGGATATACAAATTTATTATAATTAATAATCTCTAATACACTATAATGCAATAGCTCTTTAAGATTGGAGTATTTTAGTAGTTTCATTAAAAAAAATTAGATAGTGCTTGATAAACTTTTGGTATAAATTCATGGGTATTTTTTACCCTTAACTTTTTTTTTTTGTTTTAATTGGGGTGTTTTCATACTTTCGTTAAAAATTGTGGGTTTCACTACTAAAAAAGGGATGTTAATGGTGCTAGCATTATTAACCTCTTTTTAAACTTTGATTAGTAATTTTGAACTAAAAAAAATTCATAATATTGGATGAACTTTTGGTATATTTTTATGCATATTTTTTACCGTTAACTTTTGTCATATTGGTATAAAGTGAGTAGTTATTTCTGACTCACTTATTAATATTGAAATCATAACTTGTCAATACAGACACTTCCACTTATCAGTTCCTTACTGTTAAAAATATGATATAAAATTATAATGTAATTATTTCAAGTTACATATGCTTATATAATATATTTTGCTCATAAATATGTTACGTAATGCCAATTTTTAGTCCGGCAAATTAAAGTAATACAAATTTTCAAACCTGTCCCAAGCGAGTACACAAGGATTTAGGAAAGATACATACATATTTTGATTCCTTTGAGGTTGCATTTTAACACATCTGATTATAACATGGAAAACCAATATAATCACAAAATGGATTATATATAATCACATATATATATTAACCTCTTATATTTTGGATCAAATTTTTTTTTAACTAACTTCTTAAGGGAGTATCTCCTATTTACAAATATATATATATATATATATATCAATCTATTACTTTTACGCTAAGATTTTTTGCTTTTGCCAAAAACTAAGAGTTGATTATGTAGATGTCGATTATTTATTTAATGCTGTAAATATACACTTAAATCAAATATAGTGTAATTTAAAAATAATAAGAAGGCATAAAAAATTTAAAAATAATGAAGACGAAAATGTCAATTTTTGAAAATTATAATAGAGACTTAATCTATAATAAATAAAACAAGAAAAAAAATTTCAAATGAAATTTCATTAATTCAAGTGTTTTAAGTTTAACACCTTTTGATATATTTAAAAACCACCTATTTCCTTTAATTAATAGCCAGAAGAAAGGTTGTTAGACACACGAATTTATATAAACTCATAACATAGACTGATGAGGGTTTACTTTTATGGTATGAAAGTATTAAATATATAACATTTATGCAATTTCATCTATTATAATTTAAAAATATTATCTACATTCTATAATATGTAGTACTTAATTTAATAGACAATAGAAAATAAAATAAAAATATATTTATAAATAATGGGATGCGAATCTTCGCAAAAAGAAAATCTTTATTGCACAAACCAACTTCCACATTTTCGAAGGCAGTAATATTTTATGCTCTCCACAAAGTTCAAGTAAATTACTCATGTAAGAACATAGAAATAAACTGATTCTAAATATTTATAAAAAAAGAAAATAAAAGAAAGAGGCTATCTTTTTCCCCTCACCTGGAATAGTCTTGAAAAACATGTGGCAAGTTTTAAGATATAACTTATATTTTGATGACAAAATGTGAATAATATTAGGATAAAAATAGTATACCAAATTGACTTTCCCACCTCGTGTCATCCGTAAACAAAAGCAGTTGTATTTATAAACATGACAGTAACTCTGTAATTCTCGGTGGACACTTATAAGAACAGAAAGTAAAACCCAAATTTAAAATATCACTTTTATAATGCCTAGAATACATCACGATAAGTTGGTGTAAACTCAGAGTATCTTCAAACCACATTGAATTTAAGAATGATCTCTGTCAAGCTGAAAGTGTTAAGTTTAAAGCTTTTCTAATAAGTACGCATCTTGGGGTTCAAAGTTGCATTCTTCTCTTCACGAGACCGCTTATTATTTTATCCAATAATTTGTTAGTAAATCTACCTTTATTATGATAAGATTTTGAATGTGAAATACATATATATATATATATATATATTCCGTGTTGCACCTCTCTATCAAGTATACATGTTATAGTAACGCAGTTTTTCATTTTGTAAAATAAAGACAAATCTAAGGTATTCGAACATTCAAAAAATCTTAACCGTACATTTTATTACCAAAAAAAAAATCCATATCATATACGTGCAAAACTTGTTCAATTATATCACCTTGTTAGGCAAATTACATTAAAGATGTAGGAAAAAAAGAGCATGCATTAAACATTAACGTCACTACTGTAATAATTTCAAAAGTCAACTCATTTAAGCTTTGCATTTAAGAAAATCCCAATTATTTTATTAAAAAAAACATAAAAGAGTGATCCTATCTTATAAAAGCTCGTGTTATGCCATTTATAAAAGTAAAACCACTTACTATTTTAACTGATAGATTGTTAGTAAACTTACTTTTATTATGATAAGATTTTGAATGTCTAATAATTTTTTTCCTGTGCTGCACCTCTATATCAGGCATAAATGTTATATTTACACGGTTTTGCTTTTTGTAAAATAAAGACAAATCTATGGTATTGGAACATTCAAATAATCTTAACCGTACCTTTGATTACCCAAAAAAAATATCCACATCAAGTGCAAAACTTATTCAATTATATCACCTTGTTAGGCAAGTTATACCAGAGATGCGGGAAAAGACGAACATGCATTAAACATTTAAGTCACTGCTACAATAATTTCAGAATCCAACTCAGCTTTACATTTAAAAAAAAAAAAAGACCATAAAAGAGGGTTGCTCTCTCCTATAAAAGCCCTATCATATCTCACAAAACTCCTCACCGATCAAAAGCCAAGTATCACAAAAATCCAAGTGACAGAAACGAGAAGAATGGCTTCCAAGTCGGCCCTTGTCCTCTGTGTCATCAACCTCCTCTTCTTCACGATGGTAACCTCCACCTATGCGCAATCACCATCACCTCCATCCCCAGGAAATCAGCCAAGTTGCCCTATCGACGCCCTTAAGTTAGGCGTCTGCGCCAGGGTGCTGAATTCCGTCACCGTCACCGTCGGCAGGAGGGATTGTTGTCCCCTCATTGGGGGCCTCGCCGGCTTCGACGCTGCCGCCTGCGTCTGCACGGCCATTAGAGCCAATGTCTTGGGTATCAACCTTAACGTTCCCCTCTCCTTGGGCCTGATTCTCAACAACTGTGGCCGAAACGTCCCCAGTGGCTTTCAGTGTCCTTAATTCAACAGATATAGATATATATATATATATATATATGTATCATCACTATCTCCACTGCACTATGATCATCAAGTTCCATAGTTCTTGATGACAAATAAATCATATCAATAAAAAGTTTATATTGATCTATGATTACCCTTTCTATGAATAAATATTTTTTTTACCATTTTTAATTACTAAAGGTATTAATGATTACACCAAAGAAGTTGCTTTTTGAATGGTAATTAAATTAACCAGCAGAGCCCGCGAAATTAAACATACAATAAAGGACCAATGTTCTAATTTACGCATAACTGTTATTGAATGAGCAAAGGAGTTTCTCTTTACTGGTAAATAATTATCAATTATTAATATTAATACTGAAATATAAAATGTGCAAGAAGAAGTGCCAAATACCAATAGGGTTTCTCCAGGTCTTTCGATCGCCAATATTTTTTAATCAAGCAAAATTTTCATGGATTCTATTTTCTGCGGTAACCTCCACCTATGCGCAATCATCATCACAACCACCATCTTCTCCTTCCACAGGAAATCAGCCAAGTTGCCCTATGAATGCCCTTAAGTTAGGTGTCTGTGCCGATGCGTAGGGTCTCGTCGCCAGCAGTCGAAGACCCATTGCTGTTCCCTCATTGGGGGCCTCGTCGCCCTCGATGCCGCCATCTGCCTCTGCACGGCCATTAGAGCCAACGTCTTGGGTATCAACCTTAATATGCACAAAAGGTTCTGAACATGAAGTGCTAAAAAAAAAAACGTAGATGAATATCAAACGAAATTTATCACCAGAATAATGAATAAAATAAAAGTATATTTATAAATAATGTTACGAAAGATATGAATCTTTAAAAAAAAAAAAAAATCTTATTGCGCAAACCAACTTCCACGTTTTCGAAGGTAGTGATATTTTATGCTCTCCTCAAAGTTCAAGACTTCAAGCAAATTACTAATGTAAGAATACAGAAATAAACTGATTTTAAATATTAAAAAAAAAAAGAAAAAAGAAATAGGCTCTCTTTTTTTGCTTCACCTGGAATCGTCTTGAAAAGCATGCGGCAAGTTTTAAGATATAACTTATATTTTGATAACAAAATGTGATTAATATTAGGATAAAAATAGTATGCGAACTTGGCCTTCTGACCTAGTGTCATCAGTTAACAAAAACAGTTGTATTTATAAACATGAAAGTAAGCCTGTAATCCTGAGTAGACACTTAAAAGAATAGGAAGTTAAAACCCAAATTTAAAATACCATGTTTCTAATGGCTAGAATAAATCACGATAGTTGGTTTAAGCTCAAAGTATTCACAAACTACTTTGAATTTAAGACCAATCTCTGTTAAGCTAAAAATGTTAAGTTTAAAGCTTTTCTAATAAGTACGCATCTTGGGATTCAAAGTTTCGTTCTCCTTTTTATGAGATTGCTTATTATTTTAACCAACAATTTGTTAGTAAATCTACATTTGTTATGATAAGATTTTGAATGTGAAATACACACACATATTTCCGTGTTGCACCTCTCTATCAAGTATAAATGTTATAGTACCGCAGTTTTGCATTTTGTAAAATAAAATCTAAGGTATTCGAACATTTAAATAATCTTAACCGTACATGTTATTACCAAAAAGTATCCACAATATATACGGGCAAAACTTTTTCAATTGTATCACGTTGTTAGGCAAATTACATTAAAGATGTAGGAAAAAGAGAGCATGCATTAAACATTAACGTTACTTACTATAATAATTTCAGAAGTCAACTCATTTAAGCTTTGCATTTAAGAAAATCCCAATTATTTGATTAAAAAAAAAACATAAAAGAGTGATGCTCTCCTATAAAAGCTCGTGTTATGCTTTTTATAAAAGTAAGACCACTTACCATCTTAACCGATAAATTGTTAGTAAACTTACTTTTATTATGATAAGATTTTGAATGTGTAAGACCACTTACTATCGCAGAATTCTTATTGCAAATTACTAAATTTGAATTATTTATTAACTCATAAAATTTAGAAAGATTTACAACTCAAATTTGACTATTTAACTGGGTACTGAAGTGTTTATTAACACTCTCCCTTTATTTTTACGTAACTAATGATTAATGTGATATTGTTGACTCCTTAATTACTTATTTGGTTCAGTTTTATCTTTATTGTCATATTTGGCTTTCTTCTTTCTTTCTTTTTTTATTTTTTTAAATTCAACTCAACTTAATATGTCCGTGGCTAATTAGAATGAGAAGAATTTCATTTTCTTTTAAATAGTGAGATGGAGTTGCTTTTTTTTTTTGGTCATAGCTCACAATCATGTGATTTAATGTTTTGTCATAGCTCACAATAATCATGCCCTTTATGCACGCTTAAAACACACAGCCTCATACTAAAAAAATGGTTGGTGTTATTTGAACTATAACGCCCGAGTTAGTTTTTAAATTTTGGTGCTTCTGTATTTTTTTTCCAAGAAGATATTATCTCAATTTGGACGGTGATTTTTAAAAATAGGAGGAAAAAGAGCACATTCTATGCTCACTAAAAATATGAGCATGAAGTGCTCATTTTAATCCAGATAATTCACATTGATGTCAATTGGTACAAATTCAGTTTGATCACATGGTGCTGATGACTATAAGTAGTAAATATGAAAAATAGTGCCAAATTAGAAAGGAGCACTTGACGACTTAATTAAATAAAGGTGCCAAAGATATTCCTAAGCCTTATTCTGGGCTTATCAGAAGTACTCTTAATTATTAAAAGAATGCTCAGTCAGAGGGGGCCGGTTATTATCCGCCATGTTCAATTTTTTTTTCAAGTTGTATTCTGGTTCTTGTTTCTTCTACCTAGGATAATTGATGTGTAACTAAAAATATAGTAATTTAATTACTACTAGTTTAATCGCGATTCCCACATTGACTCACTAAATAATTCATAAACCATTGTCTCATCCAAGTCGGATAATTTCGTTAAAAACGTAATTGGACGCATTAGAAAGGCCGTCCTATTACAAAGAACCCATTTGAGCAAAGCCCAAGTGGATCAAGGGAAAAAGGCGGCCTCACAGGAAAATAAAAACAGACACTGAAAACAAAAACGAACACCAACTAGCCCATCTATGGCAATAGAAACTGAGTCTAGCAGAATAGGCTAGTCTCTCATAATATAGGGAACCAAGGTTTAAATTCCTGCTGAAAAAAATATCCACATTTAGTACTCGATAGTGCTTCGAATATGATTACCTTTAATAAGAAGATACTTATACTTTAATAAAAGAGGAAAAAAAAACAACTGAAAACAAAAGCAAACACGAAATAGCCCATCTATGGCAAAAAAAAAAAAAAACAAAAGAACTGGCCCATCTTCAACGGCCATCCAACAACAGACACAAAATAGAGCAAGCAACCTCCGGGGATTGGATCTAGTAGAAAGGACTAGTAACTCACAATATGAAAAATCAAGGTTTGAATTCATGTTGGGAAAAGTACCTACATTTAATACCCAACAGTATTTCAAATAAGATTGTCCCTGATAAAAGGATAAACATAGTAAAAAAAAACAAAAACAGAGACAAGCACAATGTTAAGCGTGGCGAAACCAACTTGAGCTTGAATTGAGAAGTTGATTTAATCCTGGCTCCTGAAAACTGAAACGGAAACAACTTCTCCGAAAGGGCTCTCATGAGCTTGAACAAAGTCCTTGCCAAGGGACGGAGGCTGCAGCCAACACTGCAGAGAAACGCCAAGAAGCCATGGAGGAAGGACAGGGAGTCTACCTCCACAAGAAATGATTTAGGACCATTAAAATATCCGGCAATTCCTTGCAGCAAACCCAACCCCATTGAGCAATAAATGCTTTTGTGGCCTACGCCCAGACAATTAATATTCCTCTTTCTGTTTCTGATCTAAACGTAAGATTTAATTTTATACTCAAGTAGGAATAATGGCGAGACTTTTTTGCCGGACTGCAGTCTGCAGATAAAAATCATTAAAAGCAGTTAATGGAATAATGGAGCCCCAAGTCACTTTGACACAAACCCCATTTGCATGAATCAAGCAGGATTCATCAAACTCTGGAAAAACACCCAAGAGATCTTCCAGCTTCCTCACCACTTCCTCAGTGTAATAATCCAAAGGGATGCCATAAAAGCGAACCCATGCTTTAATGGCAGGGAAGGAAGAGTCTTTAACAACTACCTCATGCTGCCATTCATAAACTGCAAGAAAACTCGAAAGTCTCTCCATTTTGACTCAAAATCAAAGGGCAGAGGAAGGAGGTGGGGTTTCGTAAACGAGATTGTGGCAAACCCCTGTCCCCTTCTTCTCTAGCACTATAGATGATTCTTTTTGTGATCAGCAATTTGTTATTGAAGTGTTACATTGTGGTTTGTGTCCGCTAGCTGATCAAAGAAGTGCTTTTAAAATATAGTCTAATCTACCATTTTATTCTTACATATTAGTTTATATTTTTATTTATACATTATATAACTTAATTTACATCTTAATTCTAATTACATAATTTAATGAAAATTCAGTCTTGTCATGCTAATGTCCACTGATTTCTTATTCTGACTAATATAGGTGTTAATGAAATATCAAAAAGTCAGGATAAAATGGTCTAATATTTTGGCTTTCCTCCATGAAAACTCAATTTAAAAGAGAGCTAAAAGGGGGGCAAGGGCTCCATTCTAAAATTTGTAACTAAATGAGAGAGGGGGAAATTTTCTATCCCCTCTTCTACCTTCCTTTCACTTCAAACTGAACAGGTCCTGAAAGCTGGTTTTTAATAATATAGAGTACATGTACACACATGTGTTGATTTAATTTTTTGGTCAAACATGTATTGATTTAATTACTTATTTTGGAGGCAAAAAAATATTTATTTATGAGTCAAGGTGTAAAATTACTTATAAACTTATATCAAAAGTGCATTCACCACCGTAACCTTTTTGGAGGTGCAAAAGTATCTATAATCTTTCAAAATGAGAGCAAAAATACCATCATCGTTAAACCTTGTTA